TGCTGCGGCGCCCGGGGAGCAGTTGGGGGTTCGGTGCCTTGCTCAAGGGCACCTCAGTTGTGGTATTGAAGGTGGGAGAGAGCGCTGTACATTCACTCCCCCCACCTACAATTCCTGCCGGTACGAGACTCGAACCCACAAACTTTGGGTTATGAGTCCGACTCTCTAACCATTAGGCCACGACTTCCCCTGGTGGGTGGGTGGGTGATGTCTACAAAATTGACATCGGACGATGTCTACAGTGAAACATCGCGATGGACGATGACATCGGCGGGGAGGGGTGTGGGGGAAGAGTTAGGGGGTGTACAATTCCTAACACCGTGTCTACACCAGACGCGAGTGGCGCGGTGCGACAGAATACTATAGAACCACTGATCTATAATAGAGATTTATTATATATAGATCAGTCTATAGAACTCATTATAATCAGTGATGCTGTCTACACTGGATGTGGCGCGACACGACAAATCCCCGACAGTAAACTGCTGTCGCGTTCTATTTATGACGTGCTGACACAAATTTCAAATGATATTCAGTGGTCGCTTTGTCGCGTCCAGTGTAGACAGACTTTAGCTGATGCAGCATGGCGTGACACGACAACTGTCGCGTCCGGTGTAGACACGGTGTAACAGTTGCCTGTTACATCCTACAGTACATATAATTTCACTTACCACATAAACAGAGTAAGGAGAGATGACTGAGGACGATGGCGAATGATTTGCAGATCCTCAGTACCACTGACAAACATATAATCTTGTAAAATGTGTGGCAAGTACTGCCGCTCCATAGTATAAACAGAGTATGTGCGATCGTGAATCTCGAAAGTGAAAGTGAAAATAAAAAGCGAATGCACGATGCCAGTTTCAATGCCAGGTATAATAGCGGCTCCCTGATGCCGAAATATATATGTAGTATAATTACCCAATTATATAACTGCGAGGAAAAATATTGAAATATATATTTTCCTCCCATCTCATATTTATTCCCATTAGGGGTACCACCTACACGTAATTTTCTTTCCGAACACGGTATTGGGATGCGGGGGAATGGAATGCCTACTTCATTATTGTTTATTTAATTCTAACAAACAAGTTCTTGTTAAAAACTAACCAAAATTTAAAATATTTTGCTTATAATTTCTGCACAGGAGA